TCCTGCAGCAGGAAGATGGTGCCATAAGGAGACACCATTTTGGCTGCTCAGCGGTTTTCATGCATCTCTTACTTCCCTTCCTAGCCAGTTTCCAACAGTGCAAATGTTAGCCATTTGCAAAAGACATGAACTCCTCATTTGCGTGGATCCCAGCAATTTACTCGAGTTGTTTCCTGCCGTTCATGGTGGTTCATATTTTGTTAAGAGTTTTGTGTGTTTTCCTCCCTTATGCAATGGCAAGAACTGTTTTTTGTTGAGATAAAAACACCAGTGAAGGACAAGAACAGATCTAATACAATACAGTTCTTTCTACGCGAGCTTTTCAGCCGTAGCTATTTGCAATCCTGTTTCAGCCTCCAAAGTATTCACAAGCATAGATAATTTTATACTTGCAATAGATTTATTTTGAGATGTGCAAATCCATTATCCCCTTCTCTTTAAATTAGGCTACATCCATCTCAGCTCTTTCTAGAACAATACTGTACAGATTCAAATGAATTTATAAAGAGGAATCAACACAACACCTTAAAAATGAACAGTTCTATAAAACCAATTGACTTAGGTACACCAGGAGCTACATGTATCAGACCTAAATGATCTGTTTTAAACCTTACCCACATCTGGCTAAAGCAAGAAGTTACATAAGCCATCAAAAATTTAACATCAGATTAGTATGGTCACAAGGGCAGCAATAAAACTGCCATCTGGAGAAAGAGCAGGGTTCATTTCAAATGCTCGATGAATACAGCACTACTCTGTTTTGCTGGAACCTTCTCAAACAGCTTTTATAATGTATTTGTTTCCTGATATATAGTTATATGAGAGATGAAGTATTTACAGCCTCACAGTACTTTAATTGATCAGCGTATATCCCATCTCCCTTCTGATTTCAGTGATTCAGCCCCGTTCTGCAGGCTAGCCATAACAGCAGAGCACATCAGGGGAATGTTCCGTAAAGATTTCATAGCAGCAGACACACTGGGAGTTCTTTAACACATCTGTGTTGTTGACCTATAAAATTCTTCTCCTAAAGCAGATTAAAACAAGATTAGTGAGTACAGGGCAGGGTAGGAGTTTTACCCCTTTCCCACTGAATTAATGAGAAAAACCCTGAAAGCCTCCTTCAAGGGATGTAGAGTTGAACAGGAAGAAAAAAAATGTGTTTGGCAGGTGAAATTCCAGAAGATGAAGAATTGGAGGGCATCACTCAATTAATGCAGTCCATAACGTGAATCTGAAGTGTGTCCAAATCAGGTAGAATTTCTTCACATTTGGGACATGAATATATTGAGATATTCCGCTGCTCTGGCCAGTCTTGACTACCAGTTCCTGCAAGCAGAGAAGATAAATGATTACCTGTTGTATGACCCGATTTTTCCACTCTTTTTGTGGAACGGTGGAAAGAGGATTGGCGGCTTGCTCCTAACAGCCAGAGAATCCCACTCTCTGTAGCTTCCCAGTTGCCAGAATGGCCACAGGGGAGCTGGGATGCTGCTTGCAGCCAAGCAAAGCTGTTTTAAATGGAACACAGCAGGGTCTGGCCCCACGAGCTTACAGTACCTCTTTGGACAAGGCGAGGAGAGTGTTCCCGTTCTGGTGCCCTGGCTCCGTGGCGATTCTGCATCTCCGCCAAAGAGTTTCTGAGAATTAAAAATAATAAGTCAAGGGCTCTGAAAAAAAAACTGAGCAAAAGGTATTTTCTCTTTGTCTCCAGAAAATGTAAGAGGTTTCAAAATAAATCAAAGGATTTGCAAGTAAATCATGTCAACTGGTCATGCATTTAGTTCACAGCTGCTGCTCAGAGACAGGACCTAGAAACGCTGCTGCTTTGTGAGATTGTGCCAGGGTCCTGCTGTCTGCTGAAATCAGGGTCGCACAACTGACACCAGCAGGATTTGGGCAGCTACACACCTAGGGGTCTGGGGCACACTCCTCTGGAAAACTCCAAGGACTCTCAGCTATTCAGGGCAAACTACAAATTTGATTAAAGTAGAAAAGCAAGTTATACCAGAAAAAGGGTTTAGTGTCCAGTTAACGTGAAATGTAACTTAATTCTCCAAATTCTGGGCACTCTTCTTGTACCCATGGCTTCCACAAGATGAGCAAAGGACACATGGTTAATATTACTTTTTTCTCTTTTACAGCTCAGACAGCTAAAATGATGCAATTCCAGGGTATCACAGTACTTGAAACTACGGGTACTCACTTAGCACTGCCACCTGGAGAAGCAGCAGATATCCCTGGCACACATGTAGCAAGCTTAGCTGCAGATTCACCACTAAAACTGAGGCCAGAACCCAAAAGAAACTCAAATAGATCAGCAGGGAAAATTTACTAAGTGTGAATCATCCAAAGTGAAATCTTGCTAAGTAAGAACCAACGCACCTTACAGAGATTCTATCACAAAATTAAAATGAGAAGTCAGCCAACTAACTTTTTTTCTATTTTAAAATTCAAATTAACCAAGAAATAAGTGTCTGCAAAATTGTTTGCCTTTCTGCTGAGATGCTAGCAAGACATTGTTGGTCAACTCCAGCACACAGGGTAACAAGACAGTCCAAAGGTAGCTCAGCCAAAGTCTGTTCTCACCGGCCAAGATCTTCAAGGTTTTGCTGGTCTTTTAGCAGGTATGCCAGCTGGACAGCCAACTGCTCCTTCTCCTCATGGATCTTCTCTCTTGCTGCCCTCTCAGCATGGAAGTCAGAACAATAAACCTCCATCTGATCAGAGAAATTAAATCATGCTGAGATTTTGTAACTTAGACTGAATCACAGTCATGTATTATATGCCAAAATAGCAAATCTGTATGATAGCCTGCAGTCCCACAGCACCTACACACTGCAAAGTGAAGACCTGCACTACTTACAAGGTGAAGAAGACTCAGTAGTTTCTGGGTTCTGTATAAGATACTTCAAGTCTCTTATCTGGGACAGTGCTATTGCCCTCTGCTGTACAGAGGTATAAACAAGCAGTGGAGGAGGAGACTTGATCGATGACACAGACAAATCTGTGGCACATACAGTGGAACCGGGCCAAGATGTCAGTTCTGTGCCTCAAATGTAAGGCAGACCCTTTTTAGTCACTGTTTACACATGCTGGTTTAAGTAAAATCATCCCTAAAACATATGCAGTGATTCTTTAATACACAATACACAAACACATCTATTCCCAGCTTTTGTTTGTTGTGCCAGACTCCAGCATACACAGTTCCTCCTACAGAACTGTAGGATATGTGTAAAGACTCTGCAGGGCAGGCCGAGTAAAGAAGAGGGAACAGATATTCAGTATTCCAGAGTGAGCCATTAAATAGCTCCTCCTGGTTTCTGAATACTGGGTGGGGGAACAAGCCAATTTCTGAAGAGCTGATACCTGCGCACGGAGCACAGCCATGGTTTCAAGGTCTTCCTCTTGCTTAGCAATTAACTGCTTCATTTCGTCTATCTGGAGTTGTTTTGCAGCAAGGGCTTGTTCTGCTGACTCCACCTTTGCATTCAGTTGTTCCACCACAGCTTTATCCACTCTGTCCAGCTGCAAGAACAAACAATGATTATGAGATGAACTCAGATTACGACACCACTTGAAGTGAAAGTTTGCTTCTTACTCCTTCTGCCCTTGGAAAAGCTTCCAATTTTGGTCATCAAAGGAACTTCGACTAAGACAGCAATGGTATTTCAATGTAAAGGTTAGTTTTGAGCTTTCAAACTACATTGTATCAAGGTAAAAGAGAACTCCTTAACGGACACTGCAAAGGATGTTTTCCCACTTTCCAAAATTGTACAGAAGAATCTGGCACTTCCATGGAGCCTCAGTTATAAGCAAGACCTCACTGTGGCAAGTGTTCTATTTAAGATTACAAAAAAATGTTTAGAGGTCTACCTTCCCATATTTACAAATTATGCTGCAGGAACACCTATATGCCTTCGCATATCACTCACCTCTAAGGACTGGACTCCATACTGCACTGAAGATTAGTCCTTATCTAGAAAACACCATGGAGGTACTGATGTGTGGATAAAGTTTTCTATAATTGACAGCATAGGATGTATGTTTATCAGAGCAGTGCTGCTATGTTGCATGCTATATTATGTGGAATGGGTGCCAGTTGTTTTCTGCCTGAATTTGTTCCTAGATATGTTCTCCCATCCCTTCCGGCTCCCCCCTAATTAATTATGATTTCTTCTTGTGATGAGTTTACCTCTTTGAGTTTCATCTCATCGATTGTTTTCATTGCCTCAGAGAGTTCAGGAAGGAGTTTGCTGTATGCATCCTGCAAGCTACTAAATCTTGCCCTGTTCATGACAAGAAAAGAAGTGAAAGTTTGAAATGCTTAAAAATTCTTTGAAATCTAAATAATCTCTTAGAATTTAGAAAAAAACCACCACCAGCTCCTTGAAAATGAATCTGCATTTCTGATGAGGAAAAATCATGCTCCGTGCCTCAACATCTCTCTTCCAATGAGTTGTGTGCTGCTCTATCCATGGACTGAGTCCAAACAAATGTCCTGACTGATCGTCTGCATTTCAGAGTGAAGAATCCATCACCCAATATTTTTATATCAAGCTCACAAATTTGGTTCAAAATTTAACACTTCTCTTAGGAAGACATCCAAGTCTTGACTCAGAGACTTCAAGTGAAGGAGAATTCTTCAGGACAATCATAGAATCACAGAATGGTTTGGGCTGGAAGCGTCCTTAAAGATCATCTAGTTCCACACCACCCGCCATGGGCAGGGACACCTTCCACTAGATCAGGTTTCTCAAAGCCCCATCCAACCTGGCCTTGAGCACTTCCAGGGGAGGGGGCATCTACAGCTTCTCTGGGCAACCTATGCCAGTGTCTCACCACCCTCATAGTGAAGAATTTCTTCTTTATATCCAGTTTAAATCTACTCTCTTTCATTTTAAAACCATTACCCCTCATCCTATCACAACAGGCCCTGCTAAGAAGTTTGTTCTCCATCTTTCTTATATAAGCCCCCTTCAGGAAGGCTGCTATAAGGTCTCCCCAGAGCCTTCTCCAGGCTGAACAATCCCAACTCTCTCAGCGTGTCCTCACAGAGGAGATGCTCCAGCCCTCTGATCATCACTCACTATCCCCGGGGCTGCCTTTTGTGGGAGTGGGGGGTGGCTGCTGTTACTCCTGTCACTGCCCAGGCCTTATCAGCCACTCTGGTGAGAGCTGCCAGCTCCTGGTGGGTGTTTGTGCTCCCCTGGGGTCTCCCCAGCTCAGAATCCCCCCCCCCCCATATGCCATGATCCCACACTCCGCTGCGGAGCCTGCACCAGAGCTGATTGCCTCTGCGAGAAGAACCAGGCACAGACTCCAAAGATAACAAGCAGCTTCTCCAGCAGCTGAAGACAGGTCCTTCAGGCAGTTCAGCCCCTCTGTACAGCTTGGACTGACATTTTCACACTCCTTACATGGACTGCACATGAAAGGGAGCAGGGAGGCAGAGCAAACAGCGAGTCTCTTTACCTCAGCTTCACTGCATACTTACCTCTCTTTGTTACAAATGTAGAGACCATACCTCTTCGTTAACATCGCTGTCTCATCACTGTAACCACCCACCTTGTCCCTACCCTCCAAGCTGTGGACACATTTACCCCTGCTAGTCAATGGGGCAGCTGTTGTCACTTTTCTGCTTCCTCTGACGTTATTCTGTCTTTGACTTTATGACAAACAGAAGATACAAGTCGGAGCTTACAGCTCAAATTTTCCTAAGTGAGGTGTTCTCTAGACTAAAGGAAACAATTTGGGCCTAATGTGGAGACTCCAGATTCAAAGTGACACAGGTGCTGAGGTCAATGCAGGTTTCTAGTTCAGACTCTACAAACACAACATGGTTTCAAAGGGTGCAGAACACAAAACTCTTATTTCAGGTTCGATTCCCCTTTGGCCAGGTTCCCTTGGACTTCCCTTCCTCACTGACAATACCTCCCTGAAATACAAAACCAAGTCATACTTACTTTTCTTCATGTGTCTTGGCTTGTTCCAGCTTGACCTCTGCCTGCATGCTCTCCACCTGAAGTTCCAGCTTCTTGATGCTGTATATTAGCTGCTGCTTCTCCTCCAATTCTGATGCAGCAGCTGAGCTTTTTCTTTCCAGTACTTGGCACCTGACAGAACAAGTTAAAAAGGTTCATCTTCCCCTGTTCACCTTTTTCTGACAGATTGGGCACACTAGGCATAATACAAAAAGAATCTTTCTGTGGTTCACTTTAAAGGCTTATTTTATGAAGAACAAGGAACAACAACAATGAACCTATACACAACAATCAGAAAACAAAGCTACTGAAACCAACACTTTCTTACTATTATGAATCTCAAAGAAATGGAATTTGACAGAAAACTAAGCAACTGAAGTGAGGGCATTGTAACTACTTTTTATAACCTACACAAGTGGTCTTCAAAAGCACAGCTAGTTCATGTGAAAAGGTTTACAACTATGTCCCTTAGCTTCTTCCCCTAAGACTAGGACAGGGATTGATTATGTGACGCAGAAAACAGGAAGGATTTGCCTTTACATCAGGAAGGGTTAAAACCCAAATCTTAAAATTCAAGGCATTGGGGTTCTATTTGTAGAACTAGGTTGGCAATTCTGACAATTACTGTACTTCTGTACTTTCATCTCCACTTACAAAGAAGCAGCAATCTTTTACAGCATTTTTATGAAACAGATACTTAAGTTGATATTGGTACAGCTGGTGAGTTTTCCAAGGTGGGAGTTGTCATACAAATATATACTGGGTGTCAGAGCAGAACTTTTGTTATTCTGAACCTTACTTTTCTTGAAGCTTCTTCTGAATCAATTCTGCTTCTTTTAACTTCTCATGGGCTTCCTGAAGCTCTTTAAACAGAGCACAGACTTGCAAATTCAGGGTTTCTACTTCACTGCCAACCTTTTAGAGAAAAAATAAAGAAAATTACATATGGACAGGTCAAGATAGGAAAGTTGCTGGCTAACTAAGAGATCTAACCAGGAATTATCATTCTCGCTCTACAGAAAACAGCGTAAGTCAGTATGCACCGTTACACTCTACACTCAGTAATAATGCCCCATCCACAAGACTTCACAATTAACAATTATTCCTAAGCATGGCAGATCTCCATTTTGACTGAACACTTTCATAATATCCAGGTGACTCAAAAGACAACACTGTTACTGACTTCCCAACATTGGCTAGAATGTACCTCATGCGGATGGGAAACACATCTACCTTTTCTTTCTCAGAGTTCACAATTTAAATCACACATGAACAAAGCAGGCAATAGTCACAGCCTGTCAAAAACCATAAACAAATGATTTATCCCTAGGTAGGCTTCCAGTCTGCTAACATCAGTGAGCTCTTTTGAAGGAGATGTGACAGCAGATGTAGAACAGAAGCAGCAGTTTGGAAGTAGAGAAGGCAGACTAAAACCTTAGACTTTCTCCTCCCAGTTATATCCTGCACTGGGATTACCCTGTGCATTCTAGTTTCCTCCATTCTAGTTTCACACAGAAAGCAGAGAACACAGAAGGCTTTGTGCATCGTTATTTATTTCAATTATGCATGAGACCCCTCCAGCCAAATGGCTCTCTCCCTATCCACACCGGCCTCTCCCACACCACACGCATGAATACCACAGGACCCACAGGACTGGAAGGCTTCAGCACTTGACTTTTTGAAGGAGAAAATACAACCCCAGATGGTAAATCCATTACCATTAATTCATGAATCAACTCTGCAAACCAAGAAAAAAATGGTTTCTAGAAAAACTGTAATCAGTTCTGTTGTGAGTCATTGGCCCTCTCATTTGGGCTTCAGACCACAGGAGGATCACTGAAGGATCCTAAAAAGAGGCAAAAAGCAAGAGGAAGAAATAAACAGCTTCCCTCCAAACCAAGACACAAAGGACGTGTAAGAGTTTCAATTCTTGAAATACATCCCCATGCTCTAGAAGACATGAAAACTTTGACTCCTGCTGGTTTCTAGTCTCTGGAGGTACACCCTGCAGCTTTCCTAAAGAAACATCTCAATCTCATCATCATGCTCACGTCAGTTTAATTGTCCCTAGTACTGTAAATTTTGTTGATAATGTCTCATCTCATGGAATGTATGGGAAGTCTCCAGTACAGCTTAGGTGGCTGTGGCTAAAAAGACACCAGGTGTATCAAGAGCATGCTGCTGTCCTATTTCCTTGAAGAAAAGCTCCAGTTTTTCTAACAGGGAAAGTCCACTACTTCCCCAGGCAACTGATGCAATAGAAGTTGTTCATCCATGATGACCTGCGAACACGTCCAGCTTTCATCTCAGAGCAGAAATGTGGAACACAGCCAGCGTGACTGAGAGGCAGACAGAATACAATTGTCTACTGACAAATGTTGCTGAGGACACCCTCCACAAGCTGCCCGAGCTGGTATCATTCACCAGTCGTTCCAGGCAAAAGGGACTGAATAGAATGGTGTAAACACTCTCAAAGCGCATTGCACTATGCTTTTTTATCTCAGAAGCAAGATTCTTCTACCATCATAGCTGCAAAACAAGCCACAAAATTATTTTATGCAGCAATCCAGCTAATCCAATCACACTCACAGATGAAAGCACTGATTTTTGTGAGGTGATAGCATTTCAATTTGCAGAAAACTAGATATCAGTGGAAATTGCCTTAGCAGAAAATGTGTCCACAAATGAAACTGGCAAAACATGACTTCTAATAAAGCTGCACTGTGAATTCTTGGTCCCTGGTGAAAGCCATCATAATTCAAGGTATTTTACTTAATTGGAACACAATCAATCCAGGCTTCTGGAAAGCAAGTCTGGCAGCCTCACTGAAAGAAAAGACTCAAAAAAAATCCCATCACACAGTACAGACTGTGTCTCCCCAACATCCATTTCTTAGCCTGCCCAGAAAAGGAGCAACACCTAAATTACAGCCTCCTAGATCTCTGCTTCTGGGAAGCTTGCAAGCAGCTTCCCAGGGAAGGCAGAGCAACAACTGCAGTGGTGCTTTAAGATGACTTGTCTCAGGAGACCTGGCTGAAGTTAGTGTCCAGCTGCTGTTTGGCAGAGGATGTTCTCTACCCTCTCCTCACTCTCACTCCTCACTCTCCAAACACAAACAAAGCAGGTTTGAAAAACTTTTCCTTCTCTCCCAGGATGTCTTCAAATGCAGAGCCCTCAAATGGTCCACACTGCACCCTTGTGTTGCTTCATTAAAGATCTACATTTTACAATAGGGGGAGGTAACATGAGCTCTGCTGACAAGATCCCTCTGAAGAAACCCAACAGCAGTGGATTGGAAACGAGTGACCTCAGTATCAGTACATAGATGAGGAGCATCTGGCTCAAGCTGTAACTTAGGCAAAGTTGAGATAAAAATACTGAAAAGAATTAACTGAGGCATCATCTTTCCTTAGAAAGGACATCTCTTGGCCTGACCACAAACTGATCTTGTTTAACTAAGCCAGCCCCTGCCCTAAAATACTTGTCCTGGCCTTCAGAAGGGCACAGGTCTCCAGCACATCCTATAGTGTTTTGCTAGCCCCATGCAGTGCCTCAGATAAGCCACACTGCCTCATGTACAGTCATTCTTAGTTGCCTGTATTATGCAGTTGCACTGAACCCAAATGGATCTCCACCACTGTGGGAGTTTACATGCTTACCTCACATAGAGGTGCCTACAATGGTAGGCACGTAAATTTAGGTGTCTGAATCTGGAGCTGAATCCCAACCCCAACATCCATTCAAACCCTTAATTGAGAACAACAGGACTGAGTTTGCCTGGAACTGTGGTCTCAATCCAAGATAGTTATGTGCCACCACTGTAAAACATCTCACCAAAACCATGAAAAAAAACCAAAAAAGGTGCCATATGTGTTCCACATTTAAAGTCTGTTTTACAGTATGCTGTCATTGGATTCCGATCCAAAAGCTGGCCTAGCCAGCAGTGAGGAAATTCACCCATTTTAGAAGACTTTCTGGAGCTAGAAATGACTGCATCTCTCTCTGTTTAGTGGGCATGGCCAGGGCAATGACGTATACCTGCAGTTATGCCATGCTTCCCTAATTCTTGGCCACCAATCTCTCCCTTTTTTGGTGGCTATTGTAATTTGAAACCTCCCCTAAGATATGGCCTGGAGACTTCAAAATTCAGTTCCATGCCCTGTGCAAGATATTTGCCCCTTGCTCCCTGAGTGCAAGTGGAAATCTAGGCCCTGAGGTTGTTGGCCTCAACAAGGAAGCTGTACGTTGCTAAATCACAGCTCAGGACAGGTACTTACAGCCTCTGAACTCTCCTCTTCTTTCTGTTCAGTTTGTGTCCCACTCTCCAGGCAGTTGCTGGTTAACTTCTCCAGTTTTGACAGTCTGGAAAACAGAAGGATCCAACAATAATGGATTTGGCCTAGATTTAAAGTGAGATAGTGACTACTCAAGGATTTCATGCAAGTGATGTACTCTCTTTATAACATCGCAGCCACAAACAAGAGGCAGAACTGAAAGCACAGACTTGCAGGAAAGCCTGCACAATCATGGGGGTTCCTGAAGAACACAGGTCTCCCAGCACGTACATTTAACTAAAATGGATGTGTTAAGTCTGCAGCTGTAGTGAAGGACAGTGGCATTCAGTCCACAGTGATTGACCTTTGGTACAGTCCAAAACTGCTAACCCTTTGGAAACGAGTCAGTCTGCTCACTGAATCCAGTAATGAATATTGCCTCTATTTTCCTTTGGTATTTTCAGCATCTGAGATTTCCAAGAATCATTTGGCTATGGCTCATTACCTCTTCTAGGAAGACCACGTAGAAGCAATTACCGTGACACCAACGTTTCACAGTAGATAATGTCCAGAAGGTCTTACTCTGTCTCTGCAAAGTGGGGATTTGCAACAGCTACTGTTTAGGCAATTTTCCACGCCTGAACAGTCATGCCAATTTATATCAATACAACTGAGCTGAGATGGAACCTCATGCAGGTCTCGCTGGAAAAACTCTCTCTTAGACAAGTTTGGAATTAAACTTATTTTAGACATTTCTAAGGAGCTTTTCCAAGCTCACGCATTGCTAAATGTAGCCTGCCAATATCACGAAGAGGACTGTAATCCCTGTTTTATACATAGTGATTTGCTTAAGGCCCCACACGCAGATGATTCATACAAAACCAGATAACTATGGAGGAGTGAGTGGAGAGAAGATCCTCAACTAGTCATCATGTCATTCTGACATAACCTGGGGAAAGTTTGAACCAAGAGGAAATGGGTAATTTGTCTTGATCCTTGGTGCTATAGGAAATAATAATAAAACATGTAAACTCTTGCCCACAGAAGAGAACCTGTGGTCTATCCCTATAAGGACTACCACAAAAGTAAGTTATTACTACGGAGTGCTTGGGAAATTCCCTATCCAGGTCACAATGATATTTCTGTCCCTGATCAGCCACAGACTGGGTAACTGCAGCAGCCCTGAAAGAAAACACCTCCAAATGTTACAGTGCACCTAATTCATACCTCTCTCTGTGATCCTCCAGTTCCTTCTCGAGTTTTTCCCTCCTCTGAGTTTCATTTCTAAGGCAGCAGAGCAGCTGGCTCACGGTTAGCTCCTCAGACTCCAAATTCTTCGATTCATCTGCAGATTTGCTCCTGCTTCAAACCAAACCTGAAGTAAGTAACAACAGCTATGACTGTACTAGAGCATTCCCTTGTCCCTAGTTCTGGGACCCAATCTGAGAGGCCACCATTTCACACAATGCTGAAACCCAATGTTCTGAGCAAAGGGCTCATTCCCAAGAACCAAGACCTGCCCACAAGCTGCTAGCCACCATCCCCGTGTGTGCAAATGCAGTCCTTGCTTTGCACAGTGCTCAGACAGTCCCCCATCAAGCTGGGGGAACAATTTAGTAGTTAAGCAAGGAAAACAAAAGCAGTCGACAATACAAAACCTGGTGCATTTATTCTGATCTACTTTGCAGCCTCTTCTGCAAAGTGCTGCTGTCTGTTCCCAAAATAACTTTTTTTTCTCCAATGAAGCATGCAACATTTCTTATCTCTGTCTCATTCCTTTCCAGGAAAAGAAGGCAAGTTCCACCAAAAACAGCCATCAGAAATTGCTTTCTTTTTCAGAAAAAAACTCTCTTAAATATTTCACCTCCATCATGTTCTATAGCTCTTTTGAAAATTGCATTATGCTGTTGTAGAAATGAACCAAAACAAATACAAAACTCTCTGAAAAATAAGGTAATAATAAATTCCTGGTAATAACATTCTGCATTCCATTCCCTCCATTTTTACATCCATCTAGAGAGAAAGTCAAAATTCCCTAACTAGATGGCAAGATAGGCAGGTGATATACATGGTACACTTCAGAAGCTCAGCTGTAAAATGGCATGTGTTTTTCATTTTGCTTTTGTAGTTCAGAACAGAAAGTAAAGCATAGTCCTCTGTGTACTCCTGAGAGCTAGAAACCTTTGGTGAGCAAAATTCAATACCCTAAAGACAGTGTTCTGCCAGGAAATCAGGGGATTTGTAGCACACTGTTCTACTCTTACAGAAATAAACCTGTCCTGAGTGGATCACATTTCTCTGAACCTGTTAGCAACACCCGTTTAAAGTTTCAATGCTGGACAAAGACACATGGTGACACAGGAAATATTTTAAAGAGGTATATATACCCCTTGTTCTTGTAGATATGGCCCAGACACTCAACAAAAGGTAAGCAAGTCCCACAGAGAATGTCTTCTTGTAATCAGAGTGTTCTCACAAGCCACCATGAAAGAACAAGCTGAATATCTGCAGCCCGGTTTGTGGTCAACAACTCTCTCAGTTTCATCCATGACCATAACTTCCCCCCCGCCGCCTTCAACTTCTTAACTGCATGCTGAGGGACAAGTATTCTATGTCATTACATTAAAATGCTGTTCTCCCTTGCAGTGATGTAGGTAGTGACAGGGGCTTAAGGGGAATCCTGTACATGGAGCACAGCTCTGTGGCCTGCTATGGCCTTAGCATTTTCTATATCCCTTCCTTCCGAAAGCAAAGGCCACAAAGTAAATAAGAGAGTTCAACCACAACCATCTAGCTGCTAAACTGGGCGGTATCCAAAATGGAAAGTTTAATAGTATCAGCTGTCTATGTCCCTGAGGAGTGAAGGTTCAACTAGGGGCGAGAAAGTCCCTTGTGTCCTCGAGCTGATGTAAAGATCAGATTTTGAAAAGTAACCTAAACAGAATGCTGGTATCTTAAGCCTAGTAACCCGAAAAATAAGGACTATGTTATTGGACTGTCTGTCTCCCTCACCGTGATACACTTTATACCAGCCACACACAAACAGAACAGACAAGGTTTAGATCTGAAAGACTATAGGACCTCTGATTCTTACCAACGTCATTATAATTGGGTAGAGGACAGATACTCTATTAGATGGTCTCCAATGACTAGAAGGGAAGGAGCTCCTGCAGCCTCTATCTTTATCTTTTCTGTTTGGCCTCCCTTAAAAGCCTGGAAAGTTGGCAAGTCAGCATGTACATAAATGCCTGGCCAGCTGGCCAGAATATGCACTCCCTCTTGTCAGCTAGTGAAAATTGGAAGGAAAAATGCTAGAGAGCTGAGGGTCTTTCTGACACGGTAGGTACGTAGAGCTACTGCAATGGAGGGATGCAAGACCACAGGAAAAAAGGGATTTTCTAGTGTACTCTTCACAGAAAAAACTTCCCTCACATTGAAAACAAAACACATTGCAGAAGTCTTGAATCACACACATCACACAAGAGCCTACATACACGTAGATAGCAACGTTACTGGTCATTTCACCACTATCCTCTTGATGTTCCTTCGCAGTTCTATTTATTTCTCCTTCCTAGGAAAGAAAAAACACTATTAGCTTGGTAATTGGACTAAACAGGACACAGTTTTATTTATTCGAGTTAAGGAAGGAAGACAAACAGGGAAAACTGCTATGGTAGCAATAAAAATAAATAAACCACAAAACTCCTTCAGATCAGTTTCATGTTTGGAAATTCTTAACTTAAATACTTCACATGCCTTTACTTGTATCTCTTCTGGACTGATCACAAAATAGGAACAACAATGACATTTGGCCTCCTTTCATCAACTTCCACGGCCACTCTCCCCTACAAAGATGACTGGGCACCACACAGCAACAGCCAACATCACTGCAGGTGACTTTAAATATAAGCCTAAACCCCACCGTCTTGCCTCCCAAAAGAACCACACTTCTTCCCAACTACAAAACTCACTCCTTGATCTTCATAGCCCAAAGGTGAATCTTTGTAGAAAAAAAAAGAAGAATGCATCCTTGAAGGTTTTCTGCAGTCTAAAGTTCTCTTCAATTAACTCCAAACAAGTTTTAATTGCATTCTCTTAATTTCTTGTTGCACTTGTACTTTCCAGAGAGGGATCTGCTTTTAGGGGGATTCACATTTTGCCTGTGAAGATTTTTCAGACACAAGAACAGTAGACAAAGTAGATTTTTGTGCCTCTAGGGAACACTCTACAGTTTTGCACTTAGTTTTGTTTGCCTGCATCTCCACATATCTGTCAGTAGAAACTGAGCCCCGTTCTCAAAAGAAAATGCCCCCCTCTATGCATAGGTGTTGCCCCTTAACAAAACATAGTACAGATGTTCCCGGGAATTCCAACTAAGACTGTTAACATTTTGAATTAGTCCAAAGTCACCTGCTGGACCATGTTGGTTTTTTCCAAAGAATATTTTTCATGTGATGGGAGGTTACCTATGAAATTAATTCACTCTGAGCATGGAAGTGGAAGGACAAAAATAAATTCCAAGTCTTTAACCACTACATCTTGTAACACACAAGTGCTCCATGTCAGGTAATCTAAAGAGACCATAGAATCATTTAGGTTGGAAAAGACATTTAATATCATCGAGTCCAACCATGCAACTCTTCTCCCAAATCCACTGTGCCTATATCTTGTGTTACTGCTGTTGCTGGCAGTTTGCTGTACCCTCTCAAAGAGGCATAAAGACTTTTCATTGACATGGGAATAGATTCACCCTTTCTACTAAAGAAAAACAGGGTGCTAAATACCTCACTGTAGAATGTCATCAAGTAAACATTGTCACCATAGTTACACCCAGACCTGACTTCCTCATCATTTAGTCTGGCAGGAGAAGAAAATTCAGTTTGCATAAAAAGGAGGACCAAGCTGGAACCAAAGTTTCTGGCTGTGGGTCACTGTGTTCTTTTTAGTCCCCTCACTTACATTCATCCCAATCTCCACAAAGGAATCCTCTGCCGAGATGTTCAGTTTGATCTGCAGTTCCGAAATGATGGCTAACAGATCTGCCTTCTCAGCCTGGAGCCGCTGCACCTGGGATTTCAGCTGCCTCACTTCCTTCTCCGGAGCTGTGCAGCCCTCCTGAGATAAACAAACCCTACATTAGCCAACCAAAAGGAAACACTGGCCAAGGAGCTCAGAGCCTGAACATAACAACAGTGTCCCGCATCCCTTCTTCTCTGTTTGGGTTTGCCTGGAAAAACCCAGTGTACAGATCCCTAAACTATGCTTTGGTCCACTAGACAGCACAAAGACTGTGAAACCAAGTTCCATCAAACAATGAGCGTCATGCTTCTGGAAAACATGGGCCCGGTTCTCTCAATGCACAGATGATTAGGATGTAAATCTTCACCTGAATCGATGCCTCTCACTACCACATAGGGTCTCAGCCAACCTACAGAATTATTGTCTATAATTATTTTATTTTTTCACACAAATCCTTATTCCTCTTTTCCCAAATCTACCTAAGATTCTAGGAGGAAAAGACCAGTGGGCAGAAAGCTTTTCTGCACACCCCACTTTCGTCCTTCATCCACCATAAAACTTCTCTGCACCCCCTCTCCATGTATAAATGTCTCTCTATATCCCTTCCCTTCCACAAAGCCTCTGTCCCTCACGTGTTCTCCCCAAACTTAATCTCTCCTTCCAGCCATAACTGTCTCTTTCTCCTTCTGCCTCTTCCCATCCCCCAGGATACTCAAAACCTTCTCTTAAGCCTGTACACAGCCAGGAAGCCTTATTTTTTTCTCTCCTTTAGATGCCTCTCCCCGTTATGAAACTTTCCCTGTGATTCTGTTTCTTCCTCATTTTGTAATCCAAGCCTTCCACTTCCTGACAATGCCTTTATTACACTACATACCATCAATGTAAATTCTGGAATATTCCTGCAGTCTGAACTACATTCTAATCTATCATTCATGCCTAATCTCCAAACTCTTGCTATGCTGACAGTGTCTCTCATCCTGCAATACTGCCCTACCCACCTGACTGGTTGCTGTCTCTGATTCTGTGCTTAGGCTGTAAGAGGATGCATTAGAGTCAGCTCCAGTGAAGAAAGCTTTACAGCAACCTGTGGTAACAGAGGTACTGTTTTGAGAGAAACCCTCCTATGAGTGCTGGTTTATCATTAAGGGAGGCAACACAGTACATCTGTGATTTGAGTGAAACAGATGTCACTTAACGGTAGCAATGGACTATAGTTATCTCAGCTAATGGTAAAACACAGAGGTGATAGAAATTAGACAAATTTTAAATTAGTCTTTTTGTCAGAGGAAATTTTTTCATGGTCTTTCTAAACAAAGAAAAAAAGAAAAAAGAAAAAAAAAGAAACTAGAACTAAAGCATTCAAGAAAGTAATTTTGGCTTAAATGACAGCCTGAAAATCATGATCAGAAATGAAAATGTTGCTGTCTAAATTACAGTTATCACCAGCTAACAAAACTGCAAAGAATCGCAGAAGAACCAGTGCTTACTCTATAAAGCTCATGGAATGACATAATTAGAAGAGATTTATTTTTACTTATCCAGATGTTGGATTGCTCAAGCAGGTTGTGTCACTGTCAACAACATATTTTAAGTATTCAAAGTAGAAGTTCTAAAACAGGTAGAGGCAGAATACATTCTCTACTCCCCCTTAGAAAACTATTCCAGATTTATGAAATTCTGAGTTTCCTTGCCAATCCCGAAACACAACTTTTAGCCTGTAAAGATTGCGTAAGTAATACTTACACAATCACACTATTTATACATGACTTTCTTCCCCCTTGTACCTTCTGAACTCATTGGCCAATTTTGATTTTCGTTCTGAAAAATTTCTTACACAGTTCCATTAAATAGGCAGTCAGGAGAGGAAAGGAGAATCTACTAGTGTCTCTGTTGAGAAAAAGGCTAATAGGCTCATCCTTCATCAGGCCACAGAGAATTCACCTGTGTCCTGGAGTTACCAGATACCAGGATGCATCAGTTTGGCTCTGCATGAAATTTCTTGTTAAACACCACTTCCCATGACCACATGGGGGACAAACCATTTTTTTTTTTTTTTGAATAGGCTTTGTCCATAGATGTCTTCAGTACTACCTGCAAAATGTTGCCTGGCTACTAAGCAATCGCCTGCAATGTTAGAAATGATGTGTTACAGAGCCAAAGGTAAGACAGAGGGAGGAAGCTCCGTCAGACTCAAATGGGCAGCAGAACAGATCTAATCTGACCTCAGTAAAAGAGAGTTCGTGAGGGGAGAATGATATAATAAAAATAGATGGTGGTTTTGTTGGTTTTTTTTTTTTTTGCTTACATGTCAACTTCTCCCTGGAAACACAAATACAAGAGCAATCAAATGATCATGAGAGAGAGAGAATCTGGCGAGCAAAGGGAGGGATAAAAACAAGAGATACCCAACAGTAAACAAAATAAGGAATGAAAAGTTAGCAAGAAATGTTAATTTCTTATTTCTTATGTCAAGAATGTTAATTATTGTTAATTAAATGTTAATGGAAATGTAAATTGTCTCAGGTGTGGCAGTTTTCAGTTATTACACCCTGAGAAGCCTCACTTTATAAATAAGTCAGGCCAAGACCTCTTGTTAGAGCACAAGGATAAAAATGGAGATGTTAACAAATCTCCAAACCTCCTGGTATGATGAAGGGACTGAATGCTCCAGACTTTCAATTCAAAAGCCTGTCAATCCAACCAATTCCTTATTTACCATTTCAGCTCCTTCTTCTTTTCCCTTTAAGCTCTGAAGTTGTTGCTGTAGCTGTTCATTTTCAATGCACTTGGCTAGCAAGCACTGCTTAGCCTCCTTAAACTTTAACTCGTAAAATTCCCGTTCTTCTTTCTGCTTCTCTCGCCAGATGGAAAGTTCCTCATATCGGTCCTTCATAGCTTGGTTATGCAACTTCATGGCTTCTAAACGATAGCAAGAGACAAGACATTGATTCACGTTAATACTCTGTCAATGAAACAGCAGATTTCCACTACGCAGAGGTCAGCATTCTTCAGTATCAAATGGGTTAGCAATAATAGGGTATGAAATGCGAACCTCCTTCTTGTGTACCTTAAGTACCACGCCAAAACTAATTATAGTCCGTTAGCACTACAATAAATAGCATTAAATTCAGTGCTGAAATCACATGCCCACACTCTCACTTCTTGACATACTCCTAAACCAGGAAGTACAAGCAGGAAGTATTGTTCACAAGGGGTACCTAGTACATTGCTGCATGTGTTATTGACTGACCCAAATGAAACTACTGAACTGAGATTCTGAAACTACTGAGACTTGCTAGCGAAAACAGACATCCCAGACTGGCAAATTACTGCATGAAAACAGATGCTATCAAATCAAATGTCTCAAATATGCCCAACAATGCTCTACTTGAACATTTGGTTAAGGATTGACTCAAAGCATTGAAAAAATATACCCGACAACTTACAGCAAAGTCAATTCCCCCTGGCTGGGAAGCTATGCTTATGTAACAATGTCAGTATGTAACAACGTCAGTCTTACTATTGCAAAATGCTTACAAGATTTTCAGGAAGAGCCAATGAAATATTTCAGACCTGCTTTTTTTAAAGCAACAAACTCAAAGCCAGTTGTTTGAAAATCCTTTATACACTGTATCTTCCAGTAACTTCCATTATGCCCTTATGTCATATTATAAACTGCCAGCAAATCCTTCAGGTTATGTAAATAAAATGTAGATCTGGACAATGATTCTACAAGGTATGAGTTACAGCAGTTGTAAATATGGTCCCAAAACATTATCTTATATGATACAGGACCTTTTAGCAAAATACCAGAGGTACTTCTAGAAACAACTTTCCTGCCAGATACCCATGAGACTCCAAGGCAGAGAACTTGGACCAGGTCCAGAAATGATTCAGGCGGACTTTATACATTGGTATAAAATCACAGCACAGAAGATACATGACTTCATGCTCTGCTGTCATATAAACAGTGTGGTACCCCTGTCTTTTACACAGAAAATTCCCAGATCCCTTGGGTTTTGCTCTGTCCATTCGGAAAAAAAAAAATAATATCGTATCTGACACCTAAACTCCTGGGATCCAGAAACAAATCTATCCCACCTGGAAGACTCAAATCATTAGGCATTTTCAGGGAGACCTATCAGTTTCTCCCAGACAGACCCTGCCATGGCCACCACTTCCTTTTGAAACACAGAAAGTGCTGCCACATCTAAATGTTCATAGTTGTTACTACACACAGTGCAGGACAGCCGGCTCCAGTTCCCCTCTCTGCCCAGGAGAATGTGGCTCCTTTCAGGCAATATCCTAACCCAAACTGTTCTGGGCACTGCCCCGTACCCACCCCTCCCGATGCAGCTATGGCAACATGTTAGACTGTAACAAGGGAGCTGCCCAACAGTCCTAAAACACAAACCAAAAAAGCCCTTAGAGGCTGACGAGCAAGGAACGTATCATAGCAAGAGATTTTTCACCTCACCTCCTAAAATACAGTGCTATACTGCTTATATGTATAATTCTAAAGCAAAGAAGTCACCCATACATTGGACTGTTCTCCCCTAATCTTCCATACTGATTCAATTTGATGTGTCCTATCAAATTGGCCCTGTCATTCGCAGAGTCATTTATAGAGCAAACACTACCCAGGTATAAAATGTTATCCAGCAAGGGCAAATGAGCATAGAATTCATACTCATAGGACAAAAAACCCCACCGAAGAGACTCAGGGCTTTTGCGTGTCAAGACCAGTTCACGTGCACATTCACCTTTTAACTCATTGTTCTCAGTGATCAGTTCTTTCATCTGTCGTACCATCTCTTCTGGGGTGTAGGT